TTGTGGCAAATTGGCGCGAACACACGTTAGAAACCTGTATGGCGTCAGTGTTGGGTATAGGGGGTGGAGGGGGGGGGAGGGGATCATGATTGCACTGCGTGAAGGCAAGCAGCGGACGCATCTGGAGTCAGCAGTTTTTACAGGACATCGGCGCTAACAGTGAGGGCAGGAGCAGGAGGATGAGCAGGGCAAATTACGCCTCAACTCGGCCTTAAATCTAAAAAGCATAACAATAAAGTAGGCGAGGACACAAGGGCTATACAGCAAGCTAGGGAATAAGTATATGCGAATGCCGAATTAAATTTCTCGGCAGGATACACTGGTAAAAATTCGTGGCTTTAAGGTGAAATAAGGACCTCAGGTACTACAGGTGCCCAAGAAGGATACCTATTCCCGTGTCATGGCCGTTACACTCTTCTATAATTAAGCAGAAAGCCACTGATAATACGGGAGATCCATACTACAGTAGATGTGCTAACTCATGAAATGTCAACCAAAATTTCGAAATGCGTTCTCGTTTCGAAAAGATAAATTAGGTAGTGTTGTAAAACTAATCATGATGCAGCATAAATCTATAATAATCCAGTTACCTCAGGGTGTCGGCTTTCGAAAAAACTTATTTTCGGCTGCATGCAAGATCTATACTCCGCAAAAATGACTACTTAAGTAGTATGCAATTTTCTCATCGATTTTCGATGCCCCTGAAAATTCAACTATATTTCATGGAAAACATGCATAAAAATATACATTCTTTTACTTATTCGGTAGAAAATCACGTCATCTTACAATTTCATACTCAAAAAAGTATAATTCAGTTTTAAAAAAGATTCTAATTGTGAGATTTTTTAATACCGTTAAATGGCCGTTCATGAAACGTCATGTATCTGCATTTACGAATGTGGCGCGTAAAGTTCACAATATTGCCCAAATACACTGCTTAATTTTATGAACCTCATATGGTCTCCTCTTAACATCGTAGAGAAATGCATGGTTTTGCGTACATGGAAAATATACAGGTTGTAGTTTTGAAATCCTGAATGCAGGTGTAAAAGCAGGTCGGGTTCGAAATTATTCGGGAATAAGAAAAGTTTTTAAAACCGAATTACTATGATACATCTACAGGTTCCATTCGAGGAGAGGGCTACGAGAGATTAATAACTCATGAAATCAACGAGGGACAAGGAAAATCAATGGAAAACGTGCTCTGTGATGAACCTCCGGAGGTTTGAGTCACAAGTCGAAAAAACGCGGACAGTTATCATTGGCAAACAGCGACCTGCCACCTAGCTTTCCGTCAACGAGGCTTCAAAAGGAACAGTACAATGGTGCGTGAGTACGCTATAGGGGTCCACAAAATTGGTGCCGACTCAAGCGATTATAGTCAAAGCAAAAGTGCCAGTAGAAAAGGTGTGGCAAATTTTCATACCGGGTCAGTTTTGTAAGAGTGAATAACAGCCGGTTTTCCAAACGAAATTCAAAATATCAGTTCGGCGGGATGTGAAATCCTGCCTAGGACACCAATCTCTCAGGACGGTTACCAAGTCAGTACGCTATCTTTTTTCAGTGTCAATATTTTTACTCATAGGAGATAGGACAATACAACAATAAACAGGAGCAGGACACACTTTCATACTCTCAGATCCCCGAAAACCCGTTCAATACGCTTTAATTTACTTGAAAAGGGGGGAGTTGAAACACTTGTTTCGAAATTCGACTGTCATAGGCAATTATGGGCTACTTAGAAATCAGTAAAGCCAGTGCCACAAAAACGGGCAAAATGCTCAGACAACAAGAAGCCAGCTGAAACTTAGTTTGGTTTTCTAAGTTGAACTAAGTTGTAGTTTCGTAAATTAGGGACGGGCAGCGCGTAACATCGCCCAGGACTCAGACCTAGTAAACACAGCTGAAGCAGGCAAGCAGAGCAGGATTTAATGGTACCAAAAAATTTCGCGACGGCTCGTCAGCTGCGTCCTATCGCTTCATAACATAGATAACGCGTAGGAAGAATACAACAGATTTGAATTCGTGCAGAAAATAAATACATAAACAACAAGGTCATGGTTTTGCGTAAAGCTGGCTAGTCGATAAAGCTGGTAACTCAAACACCGTGAGAATAGTGGAAAAAAGGGGGCGTTAACGGGCAAAAAAGAGAGGGGAAGTGAAAATCATAGAGCCAGAGGCTACCATGACAATGTAAGGTTAGCCACGTGTTCCAACTGTTTACAAAGATCTGGTTTCACCCGCCGTATATAGGTCACCTCTAGGTAACGCAATGTCCGAGTTGTTCGTGCCCCTGCTTTTGCCTGTTTCGGCCTCGTGTCGGGGACAAAATGCCTCAAATAGCAAACACAATTCGGACAGTACGAAACAAATTTCACTAACCTCTGGAAGGAATGCCACTGTTCGCATTTGGCACCATATGACTAGATCGAGGACCATCATTCGTGCCGCCCATGACAGCAGAAGCGGAAGTTGGTATCTGCTGCTGTTTCATGGCAAGGGCCTAAAACCCAAAATAACCGAATAACTCACAAGCTCAACATAATTGCTACTGTACGTTTATAAGTAGGCAGACTTTTATGACCTGGTTATATGAAGGGAGTGGAGGTCGCGTGAGCCGCTGGACAGGGGCCTGCTGTCGAGCGTAGGGAGAGCCGGCTTGTATATAGGAACCTGTGGCGGAGGTAGGGACATACTGCTGAGGCAGAGGCGCCCCTGGAGGGTGTCCGCTGCTAGATCGAACAACAGTAGCTGGCCGGGACTGTTCAGAATCTGAAAGCATTTGGTGGGGAGGTGGTTTGGGACAGGAGGGCTCAGGTCTTGGGCACTGAGGTTTCATTGCAACGGAGACGGGGACGGAAGCTAAAATTTTACGAGGAAAATGAAAGTCACTTGGAAACTAGGGGAATACGGGTGGTAAGAACACGGCCTGGCATGCCTCGAAATTCTGTAGCTTTCCAAGTTGACTCCCATATTATGCGTAGTGGGAATGAAGGGGAGGAACAGACAAGTTCACATTTACAGCAAAACAGGGACAGTTATGCATGATGACAAAGAAGCCCACCCTGCGTTTAGGTCAGGCCGTAAACCCGGTTAATATGCGAAGGATAAGGGGAGGCAGGTTCTCTCCGGCGCTGAGTACGGCGTGGGTTCTGTAAAATGCGATAGGAATTTTTCAAGTCCATAAATAACAACCCTGCCGAGGGAAACCGAACTTTTCTAATAGATGCTGAGGACTGGGCCTTGGGAGTCGCTCTCAGTCGTTAACCCCAACAGGTTAACAAAACCCATGATTTATATACCACTGGCTGAGATAGCTATTGAGACTTCAGTCTCCCCAGTCTTTGGCAGCAGAACATCTCCACTGTTGATTGCACGTTTTCGTTGAAGGCCATACACTGGATCCCACTTTACATCCCGCTTATTGGACCAGGCAGTGAGATCATGGCTTTGTGGACAGAATTTAAAGGAAAACTAGGCCATAGACGGAAATACTCAGAAGCCGATGAAAAACTGGGATTTCGATTTGGCTGACTGGCGATGGCGTTGCTGATTGTTCGTGCACGTTGAACGACGGACGAGGTTCTCCAGGGTAAGTCGAAGCAATCGCTTCATACCCGGAAACCCAATCAAATCGCTCAACGCAGGGCATTAGGCTTAATGAACGACTAGATTGTTGTGCCAGTGTCATGCCTTTCCAGGCTGACGGTAGCCTACGACCGATAGACGGCAACAAATGAGATTGGAGCGAAACATCTAGTATCAATTGTATATTCCCGATCGAAACCGATAGGGCAACGGGCTCGTGGTCCAGTGGTTAGAGGCGTGGACTTCTAACAGGTCTCGAGTTCGAGCCTCGGATGCGTAACACTTCGGGGTTGGGTATGACTGACTGGCGACGGCTAATAAGCCAGAAATGGCCATTCCAGTCTCCCTTGTCTTTGTCGGTAATGCCATTCTGCCTATGTATCATGCGCCGCTGCTGGTTGGGCTCGAGAGAGAGCCTATAAGGCACAGCGGAACGAGTGAGTTCCGTATGAACGATCGGTGAGCGCCCCTAACACTGTATATTCCCGATCGAAAACCGACAGGGCAACGGGCTCGTGGCCCGGTGGTTAGAGGCGTTGGACTTCTAACAAACAGGTCGCGAGTTCGAGCCTCGGGAGTTTCACACTTCGAGGTTGGGCATGACGGGCTGACGACGGCTAATAAGCCAGAAATGACCATTCCAGTCTCCCTTGTCTTTGTCGGTAATGCCATCCTGTCTATATCATGCGCCGCTGTGCGGCTGCTGGTTGGGCTCGTGAGAGTGCCCGTACGGCACAACAGAACGAGCGAGTTCCGTAAGAACGATCGGTGAGCGCCCCCTAACATAGTATGCACTGTTTTCACAGGTTCAGAAAATGCAGTAAGGACTCCTCGCCAACTTTGACACCATGTGGCTGTTTGTGACTTTTACCGCAAGCCGAAGCACCGAGCATCGGCTGTCTTTGTCAGCCAGAGCCTTAGCTTAAATAGTAGATTTCGCACGAAAACCTCCTGACTGTCACCCGGTTCATGAAAGGATACAAAAAAACGCACAGAGAAGCTTTTCGCAACCTTAAGCACTGCAGAGTTTAGAAAGTGCTAACCTCCTTGTTGCCATGAGGATCTGGCGGAATGTTCCTATACAACTTTTAGCATACAGGGGAACGCACCGAAGCTTAGACACCTCGTAGCAGAGAGCACTTCTCTTTGCAACCAACAAATGCCTGTACCCGTTGAATTTAACTGCAGCTTACAAAACTGATTCAGGGCGATGTAAGTCACACCGTGTCGTGGCTTACTGAATATCCCTGATCTGTAGCAGTCAACCACAAAAACAAGTCTTCAAGTGGGGAGACCTTTGCTTGGAGGGGAAATATCTCGCCTGCATGCTGGAAGCCGACACCACCAGCCGCGCAAGCGGATCAGAGTGATCCCTCCTCAATCAATGAGTGTGCAAATGCCGGACGAACAAGCATTCGATAAGGGTCAACGAAGTGGCCATTTTCTGCCGCCCGAAACTTCAGGAAGCAGGAAAGGCGAGGAGGTGGGGACTGGGGCGAAGGGAAAGCATCTTTCGAGGGAAAAAACTGAGGCTCACTCTTTTGCTGCTGCTGTTGTTGTTGCTGCTGACGAAGGGCCAACGCGTGCTCGTACGGCGGTGGTTGAGGCTTTCCACTCCGGTTTTGGAACTGATGAGCTACAGAACAGGAAAAAAAACCATTAAGGGAGGCGAGCAGCCGAAAAGCTGTGAAAGAGGGAGGCAGCCTGAGAAAGAGGGTCGAACGCCGGTAGTACGAAGGCAGATAAAGTAAAAACAGACATGTCAACGAGGAGCGGAGAAAAGAGGGAAGGGAATAAGAGTTGGAGGAGGATAAGTGGTGGAAGAAAAGAGAGAAAGGGGAGAGTGGCGGGAAAGGGTGAACAACAAGTGGGCGGGGGAGAGAACAAAGGAAGGCAAGA